CAGCCTTGTACACAGCTACAGATCACACTACAGGCACCTCTCTACCCTACATGGCTTGTAGCATCTTTTCTGGTTATAGGGGGTAATCATAGTTAGCAAAGCCGTTTATTATCACTTGTTTCAAGGCTCTTGTTTTAATTTATAACAAAATTATTGTAGGCACTGGATGCATCTTGGCTTCTAAATTAAGGTTGCTGTTGTTTATTCTTTCTAAATAGATAATTTTCGTTGTCCAGGCATATTTTAGGGTTTAAAATTTTGAATGCCATAGAAATTTACAAAATAGAGAATGAGATGTATAGTTCAAATTTCTGCAAAACACCATCCCCAGCCCCTGCAGGAGATTGGTCCTTTGCCGCTGCCCTTCAGAGTCACCTTTATTTTCACAGCACTTTTCTGGCTGGTGCCAGCTTATTGTGCAGAGCCATCTGCAAACCAGCTCCAGCAAGTCCTTACGTAGTCGTTTGCATCAGAAACTTCCTCATAGGCATGCATTGAGATGGTTGAAGCCGTTTGAAAGGGCTCAGAAAGCTTGGAGAAAGCGCCACTTTCTGTAAAACTTTCAAGACTTGCTTCCCCCACGTCCACAGACCATGTCCAAGGTGAAGTGCTGCTGAGTATCCCTAACTTTACAGATGATGGATTCGATAACGTCTATTTTGTGACAAGTGGTTGAGTTTACATGATTACCTGGTAAACCCTGGTTAGTATTCATTGCCTTCTAAGACTCAGTCATATTTCAGGAGCTAGTTGTCAAAGAAGAATAGTTAATTGTTGGAAAGAACATGACTGTTCCAAAGAACTAGAGTTCTCCTCTTTCTCTTTAATGTCACCTACCCTAAACAGTATCCTAATCTGCTGAACACCGTAGAATATTGGATCTGCTGGGTCATAAGGACAAGTTATTAACTACTTGTTTGATATTGTGGGCCAACTGGAAAGTCTCCTCTTTCCAGTTGGGGAAAAAAAGGAAAACGACCTGGAAGGTTTTGGGGTCGTTGAGTAAATGTATCAGAACATCACATTCAAATGTGCCATAAATGTAAACCAACCATTTAGCTTTCTTTTTTTCCCCCTTTTCTCCCTGCCATTGGATTGATTGGAACTCCTAGTTGGACCATATAGATATGGATTTCTGAGACTGCAAATCATTCTGGGAGTAGAAAGCCTCACCTTTCTCCCTCAGAGGTGCTGGTGGTTCTGAACTGCTGGCCTTGTGGTCAGTAGCCCCACATGGAACCCGCTTTCCACCAAAAGCACCACCAAAGCATTCTTCTTTAAACAAAACCAGTCACCGCCATCAAGTTAATGCTGACTCACGGCAACCCAGGTTAGAACTGGCCCTGTGAGTGTCTAAGGCTGGAAGTGGTTTATCGGAGTAGAAAGTCATGTCTTTCTCCCATGGAGCAGCTGGTGGTTTAGAACTGTGGACCTTTTGGATTGCAGTCCAATGGGTAACTGCTCTGCCACGTTGTTAGTGGTGTCAGAAACTCAAATCCATTGCTCTTGAGTTGATGCTGACGCTTAGCAACCCCATGCAGGGTTCTGAGGCGTCCTTGCCTCCAGCGTATTCTGGCAGCACTCCTTCCAAGACAGATTTTTGTTCTGGTAGTTATGGTACTTTCAGTATTTTTCACCAACACCATAATCATATGCATCAATTCTTCCCTGTTCTTTCTTATTTATTGTCCAACTCTCACATGCCTAGGAGACGTTTGAAACTACCATGCCTTGGGTCAGGCACACCTTAGACCTCCATTGGCTATGACTGTAGGTGTTGGGCTGCTATCTGCAAGCAGAGATTCCAACCCAGTAGCCACTCCAGTAGAGGAAAACAAGGCTGTCTGCTTCCATAAAGGGTTACAGCCTTAGAAACCTGATATCGAGTGGCCTACGAGTCAGAATCGACTTGATGGTGGTGGGTTGGTTTTATTTATAGTGTAGGTCACAACAGTCAGAATCAGCTCAATGCAACAGGTCTGTTTATTATAAGCATTGTATTTTGCACTTAATGTCCATTACATCATACTTTGGAGCCTTAGATTGGTAGGTGAAATTATCCAATTTTCAGATGAAGAAGGCAAATCTGTGAGAGTTCAAGATTCTTTACCAAAATAGTATGACTAGAAAGTAGGGGAACTAGGAATTGAGTCCAACTAGGAATTTTATCCTATAATTCTAGCTCTTAGCTACATTGTCGTGCAATGTTTATTGATTTGAAAGGTTCCCTCACCTCTATGCCAAATAGCGTGCCTTATAAAAACTCTTTCCAACCCAAGATTCTTTTGGAAATGAATTTACTAATCCATTTTACTTGGCTATTTTTCTTAGTGCTCTGATTCTGCTTTTCCTATGAAACAATATGTTTATAAATAATAATATTCCTTAATTTTAGGGAATTTCATTATATTTGACTGTGTGGAGAAATTAGTATTTCTCTAGGTTAGGGTTTCATATGGGGAGCACTGATGGTGTATTAGTTATGTGTTTGGCTTTGACCCACATGGTCGGCAGTTCAAAACCACCAGCAGCTCCGCAGGAGAAAGACTGGACTTTCTACTCCTGTAATAGTTACAGTCTCAGAAACCCACAGGGGTTTGCTATGAGTCAGTATTGACTCAATGTCAGTAAGTGAGAGTCAGGGTTCTAAGTTAAAAATCTTAGAATTTTGAATAATTTTCAGATAGGAAAAATTTAAGTTTTTCAAAGACATAAATGATTAAAATAAGAGGATACTTAATTAAATGAATACCCCCACTTTAATCTAGTTTACTCTCTACATTTTTATTAATTTTACTAAAACACAACACTCATAATACTCCCATATCGCCTCCATTTGTATGGTATCAAGTCTGAGTCTCTTACCCTTTCACCAATGACACTGTTCTGGCTTTTCAGCTGCATCTTCATATACCACCATTGTAATTGCTCATTAACATGCTTGCTCTCTGTTTTCTCTGTTCCTCTTTTTAATAGCACATCACTGCCCCCAGGACCTTCTCCTATCTCCTTAAAGCCAGCCTGTATCAAAATCCAGCTTAACTTATACTTTACACATAGTTTACTTTGAACCTCCTTCTTTAGAACACTAGAATTTATAGTTAATGTTACTAAGCAGTTAATTGTTCTTTGATATTCTTCTAATTATAATCTACTTGATTATTTCTATAAATAAAATTGTTTCTACAGCACTCCTAAAACATACTATATAGTAATAACTTCAGAAATTGTTGCTTTTGTCCTATATCATGAAGAAATAAAGATGTCTTCTCATTTAATCTAGTTTTATGTAATAAATCATTTATTGCCTCCTTTTTCCTGAGAGCTAGCATTCATCATTACCTTGCTCTTTTTCATCCCAGAAAAGGTTCAGTGTGATTTACTAATTTCAAAAATTGAAATTCAGCTGTATTTTTCAAAGCTATTGTAATAATATTGGAAATAATTGGTAAAGCTGAATCTTAGACTCGTGACTTTGGATGCAGATGACGCAAGGAAGAAAAGCCCCTAATTTAATCTTAGTCTTTTATTCTTCTCTACTTGTGGATTTAATGAGTTTGGGTAATGCTCTAGCATCATCCTAAGAAGGTTTTTAAAAATTTGATAGAAGAGTGACATAGAATAAAATATAATAAAGTCACAAAATATAGTCATATAACTTGTATATTTGTTGGTGCTCATTATTAATGGCTGAGTCATCTTGAATATAGAGGTACACTGTCAGCTATTTTCCTATGGAAGGAAATTATGCTTACTGCTAATCTTGTGAAATATATTTTCCTGTCTATTTCCAAGTGGGTGATGTACTCTTTTTCTAAAAAAGAAGAACCCCAGTTTAGCATATGGGTTTTAGATACCGTAGCATATCATATAAAAAACCTTTAGCCCAGGAAATATTTCATTACCTCTCAAAATTGGTGTAAATTATAAAAAATATTATCAAATCACAACTTTACTTTGAAGCAACAACCTTTGAACAGCCTCCACATTTCTCATATGTATGTTAAGACCCAGAACCATTACTCTCTAGGCCCTGTGGGAACTGGCCCAGCCCTTCTTTCAGTTCACGGGCACGGGGAATCCTTTTTCATCTCTGTGACTGCGTGTGTCGTTTCCTCTGTAAGGTGATAGCTGATTCTCTCCTTCCCCTTACATTTTGTCCATCTTGTTGCTTTGGCTCCTTTTCCGTCTTTGTTTCGGTGTTCCCTGTTCAGAGACCCTTCATGGAGTCTCTGAAATCATGTCCCTCAGCTAACATCTGTTTTCTTCTTAGAGCCACTCTGTGTGTTTCGGTTGTGCTTGTCAACCTGATGCCCTGTGCTCCCTGTCCATTTCTGCTTTCTGATCAGTCTTAGGCAGCACAAGTGTCCGGCTGGCACCGTGTGGATGCTGCTCCCGAGGCAGGCTCAGAGAACACATTCTGTCCCGGGTTCTGAATGCCTCCTCAAGGCTCAGAATTCCAGTGATGCCACTTTCTAAGGAAGTGTAACACCACCCTAAAGGAGGCTGTAGGAAGCTTTTTTTCCCTGATTCCACCACATCTTTGATACCAAGCATATGGGCTAAGTTCTTGACTTTAAAAATACTTTTTCTAAGTTAATCTAAGCAAGAGCTAGACAGGAGTATGGTTTTTCCTTAAAGAAAAAAAGGTCCAAGGTGATATTTCTAAAAGTTAAATTGTAATAACTCAAAAAACCAAAAAACCATAGAGTCAATTCTGACTCATAGCGAACCTGTAGGACAGGGTAGACTTGCTGCTGTGAGTTTCCAAGACTGTAACTCTTTATAGAAAGCCCCATCCTCCTCCCCAGGAGCAGCTGGTGGTTCCGATTAGCAGCCCAATGCATAACCACGGTACCTTCAGGACTCTTCAGTCACTTCAATGTGCCTTTCTTTACATTTGTGCAAACTAAAAAATTGAAATACATTGACAAAGACAGGAGAGAGTATTCCGCGATTTTATCACAAATAACGTGGCTGTCTGTTGTGTCTGGTTGCAGGCAATATGAAACTGTGGTTCCACTGGAAGACTCTATTGTGACCGAGGTCACAGCTACACTCCAAGAATGGTCCAGTCTGTGGAAACAACTGTACGTGGTAAGTAGGGTGACGAGCTTACTGGGTCATTAAAGTTTCATGGTCTCAAGTGACCTATTCCAGCCAAATCTACACTTAAAGTTTCTAAATATGTGTACTTATCAAAGGTATATTTCTAATATTAACTGAAAAATGAAAGCCCGAGTTTGGTCTAACTAAAGAAAATACACTGTTCGTGTGTTTGCAGCTTCCCCACCGTCCCTCAGTCACTACAGTGTAAGTTCTTTGACATCCAAGACCTTCACTGCCCTCCTTATTGCTGTCTTCCCAGATACTTTTGCTAAATATATATTCACCGATGAATAAACAAACTTGTGAATGACTTAATGTTGTCTCTCTTGAACTTGATGGTGAGGAAAGATGCTTGTCATTAAGAATAGTGGAGACCCAAAGCCCATTAGTAGGCCACTGGAGATCCCTTTGCAGAGGGGCCTCGGGGAGGAGACGAGCCAGTCAGGGTGTGATCTAGCAATGGATGAGAAATACAACTTTCCTCTAGTTCGTAAATGCTTCCTCCCTGCCCCCACTATCATGATCCAAATTCTACCTTGCAAGTCTGGCTAGACCAGAGCATGTACACTGGTACAGATAGGAACTGGAAACACAGGGAATCCAGGGCAGATGATACCTTCAGGACCAGTGGTGTGAGTGGCAATACTGGGAGGGTAGAGGGAGAGTGGGTTGGAAAGAGGGAACCGATTACAAGGAACTATATGTGACCTCCTCCCTGGGGGACGGACAACAGAAAAATGGGTGAAGGGAGACGTCGGACAGGGCAAGATATGACAAAATAATAATTTATAAATTAATCAATGGCTTGTGAGGGAGGAGGGACCGGGGAGGGAGGGGAAAAATGAGGACCTAATGTCGGGGGCCTAAGTGGAGAGGAAAAGTTTTGAGAATGAGGGCAATGAATGTACAAATGTGCTTTACACAATTGATGTGTGTATGGATTGTGATAAGAGTTGTATGAGCCCCTAATAAAATGATTAATAAAGAAAAGAATATGGCCTTTTGCTAGAACAACAATTAGTAGAAAGCTTCATAAAAAACACTCTTGTCAGGGAACTTAGTAGAGTGCAAAAAGGCACAGAAATAATTCTAATGTGTGGACTAAAAACAAGTGTCAGGATTTTAGTTCCAAACAAGAAGGAGTGAGCTTATTCCCGTTTACTCTCCACCAACCACAACGAGTCCTGGAAAAAATACACAATCACCTACCAGAAAACTCTGAAAGATGCAGGCAAGGAGATGGAATGACTCGTGACCTTGAGACTTAGGGACTGACCTATAGGATGAGTTCCTTGGAGTTTTTTCTTTCCTTCCATGTATCCTGGCCTGGATGCTCTCCTGAAACCTGAAAATACCAATGAGTTCAGAGGAACAATAGCCCCAAGAACGTGGCCCAACAGGACAGAAATCTTTTAGCGGTGATGTTCTCTTCTTTAGGTGAACACCACAATGAGTCGGCACTACATCAGTGGAGTTCACGGCGAGAGCTCTGTCTTTTATCCCTTCATTCCTCAGTCACAAAGAGGTGTCACTCTCAAGTGGAGCCTGTAACTGGTACTCTGACCACCACTGGAAGATGGCACCACTTTCCAACCGAATCTGTAGATAAGAGTGTTTTTTTATAACCACCCAACATTAACAAGGCAAATATCCTTACCACAAAGAGTTCTGTGGGCAAAACTTTGCCTTCCACTAATTACTTCAACAAATGACCCGGGACTCTTCCAGCTATGATTCTGACGGCCTTCTCCTGCCTTCATGAGCCATTGCCCCTCCCAAATAAACTTGTGGATAAAACAGTATCTTCTAAATCTAGCAAGGGCTTCTCATTTTAAGACCTTTTCAGAGGAGCTGGCGGGGTTCTCTCATCTAGCTAACATACAAGTCGGGAAAACCAGAAAAGTATTGCAGAGGTTTGATAAATTAAATGGACTTGTGAAGCACACCTATGAAATGAGCCTGGGAATAAATCAGAAAGGCTGACCACCTGCTAAAGTATTTAAATTCGACCACAGTCTCATAGTATGAGAGGGGCTTCCAAAAAATTCATGAAAACATTGAATGAAAAGATAATGGAATTTTCCCATGAGTTTTGGAAGCCCTTTCATATAGTACGTAAATGATTCAAGCTAGAACTCCAAATCACTTACCGTATGAAAATTCAGTAAAGTCTCAACTTTAATAAGAAAAGGCAATCAACAGTTGCCGGCACTGAAATATGACATGGATGTTGGGATGATCATAGATTTGAAACGACTGTTGTAAAAATGTTCCATCGAGTATTCACAAATACTCATGGAATGAAAGAGACATCGAAAATCTCAACCAAGAAGTATAAGACATAGAATCAAATGAAAACTTTAGAATTGGAAAATATAGTAACTAAAATTTTAAAAATCACTGGCTGGGTTCATTAGAATGGAAATGACAAAGCATTAGTGAACTTGAATATAGATCAACAGAGATTATCCAGTCTGAATAATAAAAACAAATTGATGAAAGTCAGCTCACCTCATGGAAGCAGTATTCAAGAGATCAGATGATAGACTGTATTGGGTAAATCTGCTGCACAAGTCCTCATTAAATATTGCAGAGCAGAGACATTTCTTTGGGAACTAAGGCAAGCCTGATCCAAGCCATGGTATTTTCAGTGACCTAATCTGCACATGAAAGTTAGAAATTGAATAAAGAAGACAAGAAAAAAATCAACACATTTGATTATGGTGCTGGCAAAGAATATTGAAAATACCATGGACCGCGGGAAGAATGAACAAGTCTGTCTGGGAAGAAGAAAAGTCAGAACGCTCCTTAGAAGCCGCGACGGTGAGACTTTGTCTTGTTTACCTTGGGCATGTTATCAGGAGAGACTCGTCCCCGGAAAAGGGCATCCTGCTTGGTAAAGTAGGACAGTGGAAAGAAGACCCCCTCTGATGAGATGGACTGACACAGTGGCTGCAGCAGCGGGTTCAAACGTTACAATTGTGTGGATGGATGGTGCAGAACTGGGCAGTCTTTGTTCTGCTCTACACAACGTTGCCGTGAGGTGGAACTCGCTCAGCGACACCTGACAACAGCAACGTAGCTGCAGTAATGATGACAAGTGGCATTGCTGGAGGACTGGACACATCGATTGATGGACTAGATCCACACAATACAGGCAACTGTTCTTTGACAAAGGGGCAAAAGCAGTTCACTGGGTTGAAAATATTTTTAACAAATCGTGTTGGAACAGCTGAAAATAAAATGAAAACGACCTGAATATCACTCTATAATATAAAAAATTAAAATAGACCCCATATCTAAATGTGAAATTTAAAACTATAGACATTTTAGAAGAAATAGAGGAGAAGATACTTAAAAGAGTTAGGTGAAGAGTTCTTAGACATGGCCATCTGGGAAAATCGATAGAAGAAAAAGTTAAAAATTACAAGTGACTGGCTATATTGAAAAGAGTACTATTGCAAATAGTCATTTTTATACCATCTTCCTGAAGTTTGAAAATGCTATTGTACTTTTAAATTCTCCTTTTGATGAATAGAATTATGTTGCCTTCCTTTTGTTATTTTAACAACTGCAGCATTTCTGGTTGATCCTTAATAACCTACTGATAATGGCAAGTAGCAAAAGATGAGTACTCTATTATGCATGGATGAAATCAGAAATGTAGCCAGTTAGATCCAGAACACAAAATATAGACATTTTTCTGTTGAGTTACATTAAAAAGCTAACTGTAAGCAAATATTTCTAGTGTATTAAGGAAAACTTAAATGGGTGGAATGCCCCAAACTGATCAGGTAGGCACAGTTTAAACAGACAAATTTAGTGTACGACGTGATTTGAATGAATAGAAGCAACCTCTGAAGTAATCATTCTATTGAGAAAGAAGAAAAATCTCTTCTATTACTACTATCAGAGGATGAAACAGTCGTTCCTTTGTTATTCCTACTTCATCCTAGATGCCCCCCTTCTTGTCCTGCCTCACTCTGCGAGCGGGCACTTAGTTGCCTGGCCATCCTCTGAGGAGGAGTGCATTTTAGCACCAGGATCAGTCCAGATGACAGTTTCTAAAGTATAATTCATCTGGTTTAGAAAACAAGAGGGAAACTGCATAAATAAAAGACAAACGGTAAACTGAAAAACAAATCTCAACAAATATGTAACTCCCCGCTCCTACTATCATGATATGAATTCTACCTTGCAAGTCTGGCTAGACCAGAGGATGTACACTGGTACAGATAGGAACTGGAAATACAGGGAACCCAGGGTGGATGATTCCTACAGGACCAGTGGTGAGAGTGGCGATACTGGGAGGGTAGAGGGAGAGTGGGTTGGAAAGAGGGAACCGATTACAAGGAACTATATGTGACCTCCTCCCTGGGGGACGGACAACAGAAAAATGGGTGAAGGGAGACGTCGGACAGGGCAAGATATGACAAAATAACAATTTATAAATCATCAAGGGCTCATGAGGGAGGGGGGAGCGGGGAGGGAGGGGAAAAATGAGGACCTAATGCCCCGCGGGGGCTTAAGTGGAGAGGAAATGTTTTGAGAATGATGAGGGCAATGAATGTACAAATGCACTTTACACAATTGATGTATGTATGGATTGTGACAAGAGTTGTATGAGCCCCTAATAAAATGATTAAAAAAATATGTAACTATGAAGATGCAGGTTGAGTTAGTTCATTGTGCCAGCCTGGCCGGTAATCACATGTGGGGCTAATTGAAAGGCAGAGGGATAAATGGGTGGTGAGCCTCGCCTTTCGAGTTCTCAGGTCTCTTGCTTTGTGATGGTCGTACCAGGATGCAGCTGCCTTAGCAGTTCCCTGCTTCAGCTTGCAAGATTGACTTCCTACAAGACATCCCCAAGGAGAAGCCACATGGACCTATCCCGATGCAGCCCTGGGTGGTGGAGCAACCGTGTGGAGACCCCTGCTAGTGCTGAGATGCTTGTTCGTTCACTGACTCAGCTTTCCTCCTGCAGTCGG